CCCGAAGAAAAGGTATGAAACACAGTAAGAATACAAAACTCGTAAAAAACCCAATGTGTATGTCCATCGGCAGGTATTAGCAAAATATGAAACACAGTGGAACGAAATATCAAACAGTAGAAAGCATTCCTGAAAGTATGACAAATATAAAGCATACTATTTACAAAATAAACAATAAAATACAAAAAATTCCCAACTACAAAATCAAATAAATCCTACCTAAAAACACTAACTAGTCCTACCTAAATATATACATTATAGCACAATTCCCAATGTAATTCAAAACAAAATGTAACAGCGCATAAATCAAGTATTGAAATCATCCAAGTAGGCAGGTCTACGCCTTGTCCTACCAGAACGAGTAACAGTCTGATGATCAGAATCCCTAACAGGCAAATCAGGATTGAAGTTTACTTCTGGTTCAACTCCAACAAGAATAACAACATCCTGTACATCATCATTGGAAATAGCAATATTGTCTGGGGAATCAGCATTAATAACAGGCACACTATCGCAATCTTCAACCAAGTATAAACGAAGATGATCAACATGAGCTATTCTACAATTACCAGTGTTAACATTCTTGATACGATAAACAAAATGTGAAAAACAATCTAACACTTCAAAAGGACCTATCCAACCAGTCGAAAGTTTTCTACTCTTAGGAGGATAAAAATACCACACAAGATCACCAACATTAAAAGATAAAATAAATGCTTAACAGTTGCATTAAAAGTACGTTTCTGTCAAACAGCAGATTTACCCAACTGCAAATTCAAAAGCTTCAGATGTAACAAACATCACAAGGAGACAAATCACACTCCTTTCCACCAATAGAACAGAAAACTGCATAATCTATAAGCGTAGCAGCACTACCAGAATCAATAAGAAAACGTACAGTAATGCCATTCACATCAACCATAGCATACCAGCTAGTGGGTAATCTCAAAGAACAAATCAAATTATCAAAATCATGGTCCATGCATACATTCGTCATCTTTCCAGTAGCAACTGAGGATCCCGGTGCTACTGATTTCTGTTTAAAGGCATATCATTATTCTTGGGAGCAGGGTGAAACTGGGGAATATTCCAACCGTCACGAGGAGTTCGGCCATTCCCACCCGAGGCAGAATTTGAGCTATTCCCTGGTGAAAAATTTCCTACCGGGCCACTGGCCATTTGCTGGGAAGGCTGCGAATTCTGTGGAACATAATATCTATCACAATGAGAAGCTATATGACCCTGCCATGACATCTCTGGCACTGGTTCTCAGGGCAATTCCTACGTATGTGACCCTTGGCACCACAGCCATAACATGTAATACCTTCATTCCTACGCCCACCCTTCTGACGGGAAAATCGGGGTTGATGATCTTTGTCAAACATGACACGGAAACAGTCAAGCATCTCCCTAATATCATTCCGCAGCTTACTAATGTCAGATTCACACACACCATCATCACAGTCAGAATTATTCACAACAGCTACCATGGGCTTACTAGCACGATTACAACCAGGTGCACTGTGCGATAGAATGACAAACATCAGTCACAGTAATTAATTCATCCAAACTCTGAGTTTGCCTGATGGTCAAAGTCTTACACATCTCGAAATCAGGAAAACCTGAAATGAAACGCTGCTCAATCAGATTCTCACGAGCAATAACACCCAAAGAAGGATAAGCCTTCCTCGACAATGCACAAAGAGAAGTAGCATATTCCGTTAGCGTCTCAGTGGCCAACTTTTTCCTGTTATTAAACAGAGTAGCAAAGTATGACTCCTTACCCTCTGGATAATAACGCTTTTTCAAGTGATTCACTGCCACACTCAAACTGTGTCTATCTGGAAGGGATAATTCGTTCAACAAGGACAAAGCCTTCCCACGCATACATGCAGCAAAATGAACATCAGCAATTTTATCAGTCCATCCATTACAGGTAGTAATGGATGAAAAATGACACAAATAATCATCCAAAGACATACCATCACCATTAAAAGTATCAGGCTGGATATCCACTCTCATACTATTATTCATACCAAAAGGAACTGCCTTGCAATCAGTAACGTTACCATTCACACTTGCATGCCTAGGTGTAGACTGGTCAATCACACACTCATCAGCAAAATTCAATTTTTGGACACGTAGTGGACATAACGATCGTTTCAATATTATGTTGTTGTTGTTGTTCTTTGACACGTTTTTAAAAAATCGCTTTTCTCTTCGAATACTGGACCAACTGCTTTGAAATTTTCAGTGGTTAAAGATAAAATTTTTCTCCAGAAGGCTATTACTTTTTTTTTCGCTATGACGTCATCATAATTATTGCCATTGAGTGGCGCTACGTGTCCATATATTTGAGCATAGCTCTCTTGTTTAATAGTACCGGTACCATTCATCAAACATTCATTATCAGGGCAGTCTGGTTCACCATTCCTATCAACACTCTTAGGCGCCTCAGGTTTTTTTTAAAATAGGTTTAGGAATAAATGATGGCACCTCACTCTCAGCCATGACCTCGTCAATGCTTTCCAGACGGCATATCACCGGTTCGAGTACTTCCTTCATGCCAAAATCTCTTTCTTCAAGTTGTATAACACTGGTCTTGACTACTTTCAGTTGAGACAAAGCATCTTGCAGTTGTCTAGCCAGTTCTTTAATCTCAGCTTCCAGTGATTTATTCTTATCTTCAATTTCTTTATTCGCCATTTGTATTTCTTTATTCACCATTTGTATTTCTTTATTCTTTTTTTTAATTTTTTTGTTTTCGGTTTCCATCTGGGCAATTTTATCCCATATTACATCTCGTTCCTGGTCGCAATTCTTTCTCTGGTGTGACATCATGAACTTTTAATCAAAAAATCGTCTGATTCTTCAATACTGGCGCTTGCTCGTCAATTTGCAACGGTACGACTTAACCGGAATACCGGTAGGTGCTCGCCACTAATACTGTCTAGTAATACTGTAATAATTAGTTCAGAAGATCCAATGTGCTGCAAAAACACACAAATAGGTTCGAAGTTCACGATGCAAACGAAGAGACTTTATTAAAATAGTGTAAAATCCATGCTTAAAGCAGATAAAATAAGAGCGACAAAATACGGTCTTTACTCAGCGACAGCAAAAGCAAAGAAGAGAGACACTGCGAATCCGAAGCAGTTCACATATGCAGTGGTGGTTGGGTCGAACAACTGAATACAACTATTGGGCGAATTAGGGCTTAGACTCCACACACCAATGCATATGCAATAACCAGACAAGAAATATAAATAAAATGATGAACAATAAAAAATAGTACAACTCCAGTCCCGTCACACAAGTCATTTGAAAAGCATACACAAACTTGTACTGTGGTGAGGCCTTATTCTTTAAAAAAACATTTGGGAAGGCATGTAAGTTATATAAGACGACCATAAATGCTATGGCAACAACTAATCGAACACACCAAATAAAATATGGGGATTCTCCGATTGGCAGGCAAACAAAGTTCAGAGATCTGGAGTGTGTAAATTGATTGAGGTATACTGCTATGGTAACGGGCCATTCAATTTGACAAGGTAGCCGCTGACAAGTAGACCAAATGGCCATTTAGCGGTTATTCATTCTGGGCAAAGGCATGAGTATATATATATATATATTTATTCTTACTTTCATTTTATTTTGTCCATTTTCCTGAATGGCTAATAGGAACGATTTGATTAATTGACATTCGTATTAGTGTACAGCAGGACTTTTGAATTGCATAGTTAGTGCAGGTACCTGTTGCCCACATTAGGTTTCTTCCGTGCCATTAAAATTACAACAGTGCTAGTAAAACTCATAACAACATGCCTTGGCATAATTATCCTTTCAAATAAAAGTTTATTCAGCATGCTTCTGGGAAGCACTTAATTCGCGACTATCATGGAATTATAATTTGAAAAGTAGATACAAGCGCCGAGTAGAAGTTCTTCAACCCCGAATAGCAAGTCGAGTCAAGGGCCATCGGGAGTCGATCAATGGGTCTTACTGTTGTTTTCTGTTACCCTGTAAAATGCATGCTTATATCATCGTAATCTACGATTACACTTGCACTCATAAGTTTGAAGTTTTGTGTCAAAAATTGCACTTGAAGAACTACGATGTCGAAAAGAAAAAAAGTTGAATAAGAACGTGAGGTTTCAAAATTTGAATTCGAAATGCACTCGACCAAAGAGTACCTTAATGTCAGCATAGCATTGTTGTATTGAACGAATCTGAACAAGTCAGTGAAGTATTAAAGGAATCTGAACAAGTCAGTGAAGCCAGCAGTGGAAAGTAAGCACCCAGTAGGACTGGGGTAGCACGATTTAGACCAGGGTCGGCCAACCTTTTTGGTCGACGGGCCACATTTAGTTTACTAATAATTGCGCGGGCCACTTAACATGGCAATTATTTTCTAGTTTTGCTACACTGACTAAAAGTTAATGACAAAAAAGTTAAAAACAAACAAAACCCTCGCATCCAACTTTCTCAATAATAAGAACAATAAAAAACAAAGATACTGTAAAGTCAACAAAGGTATTTCTACGCGTAGATATTTTGGTGTGAAGTTTGGCACTGTTTTTTGCTAACAAGTTTTCAATATTCGCTGAAATGGACGATGTAGCAATGCGAAGCCAATTTTTTATATGACTGTCAGAAATTAGTGATCTCATTTGCTTGTACAAGTAAGTGCTGACAAATAATGAGGTCATTAAAACTGCCATTCTGTCAATACTCTGAAATTGACATAGAGAAAATGGGATGTTATTTTCGAGTAACCCCGACTCTAAGATACTGAACTAAGTTTGTTTCAGACAGTCTCTCACTAATACACTTGTCCCAACGCGACAGCTGGAGGAAATGGGCGTAGAAGAGTAGGCGTGGTCATTTTCACGCATGAGTAAGTTTCAATATGACGGTTCGTTTTCTTTTTCTGTTTGATTTCCATAACTAATAACAAACGAACAAACAACATCAAAGAAAACCCACAATCGATCGAATCAATATTTATTATTATTATGTTTCGTTATATACATAAATTACATCGGGCGAGACAGCTATGGATTTTTATTTGCTAAGCAAACGGTTTTAATAGACGAGAATATCAACTGAAGGCACGGGTAATACGGTTAATAGTAGTAAAGTAATAATAAAGTTAAGTAATAATAACACTCTGCCGTTAGGAAAATTATTTAATCCGTCAACATAGTTTTGTCAAATTTTAATTTGGTTTTATATTTCACAGAAGACACCGCGCTTTTCCTGGATAGGGGCAACATTCAATATTCCCTGATCTTTTTCGTCTGAATTTTTTTTGACATAAACAGCAACATTTCTGCGCGAAGCCGTAGATTTCGGATAATGAGGAAGCCACACTTCTGTTGGTAGAGTGACTGCTCCTCCACTTGACAGCAAAAGCTGATTGTTCTGTGACAATTAAAAGGTTGAATTAGTTGCTTGAAATGTTAACACAAGTGACATATTACATGTAGAAAGAAAATACTGGCTTCGGGTAATAGGCTTCATAATGAAGTTAGTTACCATAGGCAAAGTACGATAAGGTAGGGAAAGATACATAGAACAGCTCTTTTCGATAAGAACTGTATAAATCGGGCGAATCCGGTAAATAATGTATATATCATAAATTGTAAGTAACTCGGAAACTAAAAAAATACTAGGTTGACCGGCTCGGATGTGATGATAAAGTATACAATTCAAATGATATTAGACGTTGCAAATTATCCAACTTATTGATAAATCGTAGGGCTTTGTCATTTATTTGGTGATTTTATTGCAAAATTGAAGCCAATCTTCGGGGGCAAAGAAATTTACAAAATGAATCAAACTCTGAGTACGGGGATTCGCGATTGTGACCGACCAAACTGACCTTATACTCCATCCCTGTCCAGATGGATGTTCCACCAGAAATCACTGAACGTACATGAGTGAGAAGCAACTTGTAAACAGCGAAGTCGTACATATTCGCAGGTTTTCCGTCGTTCATTGATTCGCAAATTAATTTAGCATCGTTGAAGGTGACGTTCTTTGTATCATACAACAACACTCGGTAGCATCTTGAATTGTATAAGACGTCACATTTATCTGAAATCAACATAATCGTGATCATTATTTATTTTATATCAAAAGAATCTTCAGAAAATGAGTCATTAAAAAAGGGATAAAACTTTTTAGGGTTGTTTACTTTGTGAAACATGTCTCGGAAATATTTTTTTTATTATTTCCAGAATGCGAAAAGCCTGTAAGACAAATTAATTTTGCGAGAAAGTTAAAACAAATCTATTTTAAAGTGAGAGTATATTATATAAGTTCAGATACATTGTTGGATGTCGAAGTCGTAGACGACTAATAGTTTGGTTAATCACCCAGCAACGAATAAAGGTTCAGTTCTTGAAATCGTAAGTTCTATGGTTCTTTCATACAAAGCCCCCGCCAAAAAAAAAAACCTGCCAACGCTCGAAATATGAAAACTAATAACTATAATTAGAGATAGGAGTGCATATTGCACTGAAAATTCAAATCATTCTAAACTCGAACCCCAACTATACTCATTTGTTATTTCAAACATGACGGGGGTGTTTTCTCAAATCTCACATTTTTGTATTAGTGGTGCCCCCCGGGGGGGTTTTGTACAAAAGAATTCAATAGCCATGGTTAATGATTGCAAAAAATACATGTTGGAACTGCCATACTTTTTCATTGATTCAAATCTAGTTACAAACCACCGTGCCTTAAAAATTTGCCTAAAAATTGTTATACTTGTGGTGAATGTGGCAAGTTTTATTGTCCATATACCATTTACAAAACATAATAAAAATTACTTTTAGCTTTCTCATCATGACTCTTTTTGATCAGTCTGACGATGTCTGTTAAAAAATTATATATTTTAGTTGTGTGTGGGATAAGGTGTTTTGAATCAGTTTTCAGTTTAAGTCGTCGCCAAAGTATAAACCCAATATTGCTAAAAGGTTGAAGTTGCAATACTTGTTCATGGGCTTACTCGGAATGAAAATTATTTTGCACAAAAAAACATAAGCGGAAATGTTGATAGTTTACAGATTAGAAAAAAAATTACGGACAATTATTTTTTTACACGGTGCTTATTCTCTCCAAAATATATCATGACGTACTCACCTGATCCATCGTTTTTCTGTGAAATAAATACGAAATGCAGATAATTAGTAAAGTAATTATGACACTCAAGTTGTATTAAATTATATTAGTTGTAAAACAAGCATAAGACGGAACAGCCAATCCTTATCAAATAGGGGCAAAATTGTTTTACCACCAGACTATAAAGTTTTTATGACGATGGTTGTTATAGACTGAGTGTAGGGCATAACGCTTTTGGCATCGCAAGATAAAGATTTTTGGCCGAGCCGAACAGCTTCGAGTCGTTCCAAAAATAGTTGCTTTAAAAGTTTCAGTGGATATTTTCCCAAAGTCTTGTTTGGGGTCGAAGTGTAAAAACACTTAAAATAAAAATAGAAACTTTAATTTTACCTCGCAATCTCCAACTTGGACGAGTTTTCCTTTCACGATCTTCGAAACGCAAGCTCCGGCTGACGAATATAAAATATTTTAAGTTAGATATAACATCTTATACAAAAAGTAGCAGGCATTCCTAGTACATTGAATGGTATGTTCTGGGTGGGATTTACGTATTTATCCCGGGAAAGAGGGAAGGCGATAAAACGGCTTTATCATATGGCGTACCACGGTCTCTCGTCCCGTTACCAGTCGATATATGGGTATGGGATTAGTTTACTAGTTATTTGTTTCAAATGCATATGAGAACGAACAAATAAACCCAGTATAGTTTGAAAAAAGTGGGCTTTATATTGAGTTAAACTTGAATATGACGCCATCTTGTGTCAAATATTATAGGTTGTAGTGTGTGATGTATTTTGAAATGATTGTAGAAATCTTTTATATTTCAACTGTCTTGACAGCAAAAGTGAAGGATGGTTGTAGACAAAGATTGCCTGTAAACAGGCATTGCAAAATCTAATAAGTAATTGTTTCCGAAACTAATCATGCAGAAATCGTTATCTTACTGGGTATTTTTTTCTCGGCAAGCAATCCACAGATAAGAGAGATAAAGAAAAGTATTTCGACGAAGTCCATGTTTGCCTCTAGAAAGATTTGGTGACGCAACAAGCTACTTAGATGTAAAGTAAATACTGCAAATATATTGAAAAATATTATAGATTCTGCAACGTCATAGCTAGCTGTCCTATATTGATTGACTTTATTTATTGACATTTCAAACAATTTCGTTCATAGCGACGTAACAAAAATGTTCTCAAAAAAAAAACATAGGCCCGGACTGAGCAGTCCTTGCGGGGCGACGTGTATCTGTGTTTACTAATATCTATGACGCCTCAAAGATGTTGTGGGGAAATTTTCTAACTTTGTCTTAATGGTCAAGGATTTTACATAGATGTGTCGTAGGACATCCTGACATGACAATAATTGCGACTAATCAATAATGCACTTTGGAATGTTTTCCCTTAACCCGGACGAATATTTTTCATTTAATTATGCATGCTACCATCTTTTGGCTAAATCAAACACTTAACTTAGTAAAAACGCCGTTTAGCGCAGACAATCTTTGCTTCTAGATTGTGATTATGCGTGTATGGTAGCAAGTCACATCAGCGTGTTTTACGTCACTTCCCTTTGCTATGAACTGATTTCCAACTTACAAAATTGCGCGCAAAAATAAGCAAACAAATGTGATTCACCCATTTATAATATCGAAGTCGGAAGTTGGAAGCAATTCATCCCGTCTTAAACCTAATACCTCGGATAGAACGATGAGTATCGCCCGTTTTCTCAGCAAACCGAAATTGCCCTTTGTAACTGTGCAGTCACAAAACACTAATTTGAACGCTTGATAAAACTTCAAAAGATTTCCCGACCTTGACACTCGAATACGAAGCGTGTGGTATTGGTTATTTACATAAAAGCGCGAACATCCTCACTTGTCAACATCTTGAGCTGTTTTCCCTGATAAGCGGACCACTGGTATTTTATCTATTTATGCTCTCGTATCTCTGCTAGATCTAACACGCAAATTAGTGAAAACGCCCTTTAGCACAGACAACCTTGGCTCATGGATTGGGATTATGCCTTATACAGTAGCAAATCTCATCAGCGTATATTACGACACTTCTCTTTGCTATGAACTGATGCATACAAAATTGCGCGCAATATTCAGCTAACGAACTTGATTCATCCATTTTAAATACCGCAGTCAGTAGCAATTTTATTGCGCGCATGCCCTTCTATCCGACTTCAAGCCATCCATGCTGACGCTGTTATATCTAATACATAGAATTGAAGAATAAAAAATTACCGTTTTACTCAAGCAAACCAAACTAGCCCTTTGTAATTGTGCAACGCTTGACAAAACTTCAAAAATTTGCCCAACCTTGACATTCGAAAACGAAAGTGCGGTGCTGATTATTTACATAGAAGCTTTAGGACATCCTTACTTGACAGCATTTTGAAAATATATCCCCCTGGGAAGCGGACCACTATTATTTCATATATTTATTCTCGCATCTCCCTGCTACGTTTAGCAGTAAATTAGTAAAAGGCCGTTTAGCGCAGACACTATCGACTCATAAAGTGTGATTATACTGTATATGGTGGCGAGTCTCATGATTGAGTTCACGTCACTTCCCTTAGTTATAAACTAATTCTCATCATACCAACTTGATTCACACATTCTTAATATTGAGTTTGGAAGAAATTTTATTGCGCGCATAACTTCCTGATTGACTTCAAGCCACATTCTGTTATATCAAATATATAGCATAAGATGAAATAATCGTTCGTTTTTTTTCAGCAAACCAATTACGACCTGTGACGGCCAATTACGGTAATTGTGCAGTCCCAAAACACTTATTTGAACGCTTGACAAAACTTCAAAAGGTTGCCTCATCTTGACACTCGAAAACGAACCGTGCGACACTGATTATTTTATAAAGGCATTAGGATGAACATCCTCACTTGTCAACATTCTAAACTATTTTCCCCTGAGAAACGGACCACTATTATTTCATAAATTTATGCTCTCATCTCTATGTCACATGCTATTATACGTAAATTAGTAAAACGCCCTTTGGCGCAGCCAATCTCGACTCATGAAGTGTGATTATGCCGTATATGGTGACGATTCCCATGAACGCATTTACCCTTGTATAAACTACTTCCTAGCACAGAAAGATTGTGCGCCTAAATCGGCAAACAACTTTATTTCATCCATTGCGCGCATAACTTTTTGATTGACTTCAAATCTCCCCTGTTATATTTAATACATAGAATTGAAGAATAAAAATCGGCCGTTCTACTCAAGCAAACCAAACTAGCCCTTTGTAATTGTGCAGTCCCAAAACACTATTTGAACGCTTGACAAAACTTCAAAAACTTGCCCGACCTTGACACTCGAAAATGAAAGTGCGGTGCTGATTATTTACATATAAGCTTTAGGACATCCTCACTTGACAATAATTTAAAAATATATCCCCCTGAGAAGCGGACACTAATATTTCATATATTTATGCTCTCTTCTCTCTGCTATATTTATCACGTAAATTAGTAAAACGCCGTTTAGCGCAAACAACCTTGACTCATAAAGTGTGATTATGACGTCTATGGCGGTGAGTTTCATGATTGAGTTTTACGTCACTTCCTTTAGCTATAAATTACTATCCAGCATAGAATAATTGTGGGCGAAAATGAGCAAGCCAAATTTGATTCACTCATATATATATCAGTACAATTGGATGGAATTTCAATGCGCGCACTACGTTCTGATCGATTTCGAGTTCTCCCTGCTCTCTAATACATAGAATAGAATGATAAAAATTGCCTCTTTTCTCAGCAAACCAATTTCGCCCTTTGTAATTGTGCAGTCCCAAAACACTTAATTGAAAGCTTGACAAAAATTTGCCCGACCTTGACACTCGAAAACGAAAGTGCGGTGCTAATTATTTACATATAAGCTTTAGGACATCCTCACTTGACAATAATTTAAAAATATATCCCCCTGAGAAGCGGACACTAATATTTCATATATTTATGCTCTCTTCTCTCTGCTATATTTATCACGTAAATTAGTAAAACGCCGTTTAGCGCAGACAACCTTGACTCATAAAGTGTGAATATGACGTATATGGCGGTGAGTTTCATGATTAAGTTTTACGTCACTTCCCTTAGCTATGAACTAATTCCCAGTATACAAAATTATCATACAAACTTGATTCACACATTTTTATTATCGAATTTGGAAGCAATTTTGATGCGCACGATTTCTGATCGACTTTCGAGCCACCTATGGTGTTTCTTAGAAATAGATGATATAAATCGTCTGTTCTATTCAGCAAACCAATTCCGGCTTTTACAATTCTGCAGACCCAAAACACTAATTTCTAAACACCTGACAAAACTTAAAAAGTTGCCCCACACTAACACTCGAAAACGAAACGTGCGGTTCTAAATTTTTACACAGAAGCACGAACATCCTCACTTGACAACAATTTCAAACTATTTCCCCTGAGAAGCGGACCACAATTATTTCATATATTTATGCTCTGTTCTCTCTGCTATATTTATCACGTAAATTAGTAAAACGCAGTTTAGCGCAGACAACCTTGACTCATAAAGTGTGATTATGGCGGTGATCTCATGATTGAGTTTCACGTCACTTCCCTTAACTATAAACTAATTCCCAGTACACAAAGTTATCATACAAACTTGATTCACACATTTTTATTATCGAATTTGGAAGCAATTTTAATGCGCACGATTTCTGATCGACTTTCGAGCCACCTATGGTGTTTTATAGAAATAGATGATATAAATCGTCTGTTCTATTCAGCAAACCAATTCCGGCTTTTACAATTCTGCAGACCCAAAACACTAATTTTTAAACACCTGACAAAACTTAAAAAGTTTCCCCACACTAACACTCGAAAACGAAACGTGCGGTTCTAAATATTTACACAGAAGCACGAACAACACTTGACAACAATTTCAAACTATTTTCCCTGAGAAGCGGACCACAATTATTTCAAATATTTATGCTCTCTTCTCTCTGCTACATTCAGCAGTAAATTAGTAAATCGCCGTTTAGCGCAGACAACCTTGATTCATAAAGTGTGATTATGCCGTGTATGGCGGTGATCTCATGATTGAGTTTAACGTCACTCCCCTTAGCTATAAACTAATATCCAGCATAGGAAAATTGTGAGCGAAAATGAGCAAGCCAAATTTGATACACCCATGTATATATCAGTACAATTGGATGGAATTTCAATGCGCGCACTACGTTCTTATCGATTTCGAGTTCTCTCTGCTCTCTAATACATAGAATAGAATGATAAAAATTGCCCGTTTTTTCAGCAAACCAATTTCGCCCTTTGTAATTGTGCAGTGCCAAAACACTTAATTGAAAGCTTGACAAAAATTTGCCCGACCTTGACACTCGAAAACGAAAGTGCGGTGCTGATTATTTACATATAATCTTTGGGCATCATTACTTGACAACAATTTAAAAATATATCCCCCTAAGAAACGGACACTAATATTTCATATATCTCTTCTCTCTGCTATATTTATCACGTAAATTAGTAAAACGCCGTTTAGCGCAGACAACCTTGTTTCATGAAATGTAATCATGTTCACGTCACTTCCCTTAGCTATAAACTAATTCCCAGCATAGAAAATTGTGCGCATAAATCGGCAAACAAATTTGATTCAAGCATGTATAATAGTGCAATTGTAACGCGCGCCTATACCTAATACATTGAACAGAATTGGAAAAATTGCACCATTTCTCAGCGAACCAACTTTACCTTTCATAATTGTGCAGTACCAAAACATTAATTTGAACGCCTAACAAAACTTCAAAATTTGCCCTACCTTGAAACTCGAAAACGAAACGTGCAGTGCTGATTATTTACATAGAAGCATTAGGACCAACATCCTCACTTGACAACAATTTCAAAATATTTTCCCTGAAAAGCGAACCACAATATTAGTAAAAACGCCCTTTAACACACACAATCTTGACACATAAAGTGTAATTATGCTGTATATGTTGATGAGTCCCATGATTGAGTTTCACGTCACTTACCTTACCTGTGAACTAATTCCCCGCATAGAAAA